ATGAGAGTATTAATGTACACAGCTATGATTCATTAAAAAATAAATAAAAAATAACCAGTAATAAAATGGAACAATTATAACAAAGTTCTGTAACAAAAATTATATGAGTGTGAGCTTGCGCACTCTCACGCACTCACTCTTTCTCTCTCTCTCAAAATACTATAACACGGTGGCACCTGTGGCTCCATGCGTAGGGTGCTGGCCCCATATACTGAGGGTGGCAGATTCGAACCAGGCCCCAGCCAAACTGCAACAAAAAAATAGCCAGGCATTCTGGCAGGTGCCTGTAAGTCCCAGCTACTTGGAAGGCTGAAGCAAAAGAATAGCCTAAGCCCAGGAGTTGGAAGTTGCTGTGAGCAGTGACAGCACAGCACTCCACAGAGGACAATAAAGTGAGACTCTGTCTCTAAAAAAAAACTATAACATTTGTGGGCCATGGTTGCCTACAGGTAACTGAAATTGTGGAAAATGAAGCTGTGTATCAGATGGGATTACTGTATGTCCTTTCTGGGGTACTCCCTCTGATCCACCTGCCTGCTCACCTTGATTTCCAAGGCCATTTAGAACCCCTACTTCTGTAAGCGTCTTTGCAAGCTGAAGGCTTTCTGACCCTGCACTTCATTCTCAGCCTTTCCCAATTCCAGTTTCCCATCCTGCCCTTCAGCCACTGCCGATAGTGCCACTGACAAAGTGGCTTAGATGGGAACTCGTGCATCTTGATTCCTCTTCCAGTGGATGACTTAATGGACCTATGAAGTCATGGTTTACTGTCACCTGGGAAATTGCACGATTTCTCCCACCATCACTATACTTGCTACAGGCAGCATGTTACCAAAACCAATATTGTTCTTAAAGAGTTTCCTGCTCCCTGCCTCATTACACCACTGCTTGGTCCAGTAGTTCTCGACGTGGAGCATGCATCAGTGTCAACTGGAGCATATGCTCAACCACAGATGGCTGCACTCACCTTCCAGTTTCTAATTCACTGCATCTGGAGAGGAGTCTGAGAATGTACATTTCTGGCAAGTCCCCAAGTGAGGTCGATGGTTCTGGTCCAAGGACCACACTTTGAGAACCACTAGCCTGGTGGATAAGCACAGGGTTGGAATCCAGACCTGCAGGCAGACCTACCTAGAGCTGAACCTTTACTGCCTCTTACTTTACTTAGCACTATGTGACCTCAAGCAAATTACTTAATCTCTATGAGCTTCAATTTCTTCACCTGTACAATAAGAAAAATAAAGTAACCTCACAGGATTATCATGAGGATAAAATGGGATAATGTACACCAAGCCCTTAGACTGGTGCTTGGCCCACAGTAAGCACTCCAGAAGTGGTCAGTGGTAGCTACTATATACAGCTGACAATGGATTTCTGAGCTTCTCAAGTCATCATGAATCTCAGAGTGGAAGTCTGCATTTTAGCAAAGCATCTAGAGAGGAAGAGGAGCCTTTGAGACTTAAAAGTTTAAAACTTGTTTCCTCAGGACCAGCAGGGAGATGCCTTTGGTGAAAGCCTGCCTATTCCCTGGGAGTTGACAATGTGGAGTCTCCCTGCCTATACTCTGGGGGTTGACAACGTAGAGACTTTCTGCCTATTTTCTGGGGGTTGACACGTGGAGTGTCCCCGCCTATTCTCTGGAGGTTGACAACGTGGAGTCTCCCCGCCTATTCTCTGGAGGTTGACAACGTAGAGTCTTTCTGCCTATACCCTGGGGGTTGACAACATAGAGTCTTTCTGCCTATTCTTTGGGAGGTGACACGTGGAGTCTCCCTGCCTATTCTCTGGAGGTTGACAACGTGGAGTCTCCCTGCCTATACTCTGGGGGTTGACAATGTAGAGTCTTCCTGCCTATACTCTGGGGGGTGACAACGGAGAGTCTTTCTGCCTATACTCTGGGGGTTGACAACATAGAGTCTCCCTGGCCCTCTTGCTCCCCTAGGGAGAGAGTGTTATTTACATTTCTCAAGGAATTGGAAATTTAAAGCCCCATCGTCTGGCCTCCAGCCCTTTTTTGTTTTTGTGTTTTATTCTTTAGCTATAGACTTCAAGCAGCCAATGGATCTCCTCCTTCTTATGATTACCAGGCAGCGGCTACTGCTGCAAACTCATGCAGAATCAACAAAAGCAATAGTTTACTTATGGCATTAGCAGAAAACTCATGAACTTCAAGAAAGAGAACTAGAAGCAATGGCCACCTTGGAGAGGGGACCAGCAGTGATGAAGCAAAAGAGCACTCCTGTTTGCTGAGCGAAGTGAGAGGATACATGTTGGCTATTAAGGACTCTGATAGCTCTCCATCCTCAAATCAAGGGTGTTTTTAAACGAGCCAATGATCTGTTAAAACTGTCCTTTGACATCAGTCAATTCTTTATGTTAGTTGACCTGAGCACGTAAGACTAATATTGACCTAGGAAAGAAGCAATTCTAATTTTCTAAGACAATATAAACCTTTATACAAATTCTTGCCTTGTTATGGAATTTCGCAAATCCACATCAGTGACACACATATTTGTGTAATAATTGTTTTTCTTTTTGGTATTTTAATTTCAGTCTTTAATTGACAAATAATAATTGTACATATTCATGGAGTATGTAATGATCAGATCAGGGTAATTAGCATACCCATCATCTCAAACATTTATCATTTCTTTGTGCTAGGGCTAACACTTTCTTGAGAAAAACAGAAATAACTGCAATTACTGAATCCTCCCGCTTTAGCAGTTTACTGTAAAAAGTAGTCAGCCATTCGCAGTGCACAGCATCACTGAGGTTGGGTTGATCTATGCTGGAGCCAGTCGGGCTTGGTTCCAAGATGGAGTCTGCATCCAGGTCAACTCCATATGACTCCAGCTCTTCTTGGACTAGCAGGTCCCCAAAGCATGTTCTTTTCATGTCACAGTTGCAAACAATTCACCCTCCAGAGAAGGGAGAAGCCTGCAGTAGGTATATTTTCTTCACTGGCATACTCACCCTTCAAAGGTCTTGGGAAGAATAGTTTTGAAGTCCAGGCAGGCTCAACTGGGTTCTCTGTTCTGGGTATCTCAAGGCTAAAAACAAGATGGCAATTGAACTAGGCCCTGGAAGAGAAGCCACTCCCAAGTTCATTCAGATTGCTGACAAAATTCAGCTCTTTGTAACTGAGACTGAGGTTCCTATTACCTTGTGGGCAGCCAGCTGGGGTCACTCTCAGCTTCCAGAGACTGCTCTCAGGTCCTTACAGATGACCCCTCCAACTCTAAGGCTAGGAAGACTGCAGCAAAATCTCATCATGTCATCATTTAAGAAGCTAGTTAAGAAAGCCAACTCTTGGCTCCCCAGTCTTATCCCAGGGTCACCAGTATTTGTGTTTAACAAATTAAGCACCTTGAGGGCTCCAAGGTGGATGGACCCTGGAGCCCCCAGTTGGAGAAACAGCCCTGTGATGTCTTTTTAATGTTCCCATCAAATGGTTCTTTCCTAGGCCCCAGGTTTCTGAAGGTCAAGTCAATTTATTCTCTTTCCTACAATTTACAAGTTGTATTTTGAGTGTTATAGTGTTTGTCCATAGAAATCCAAGGATAGGTTGGGGATGGGGGACTTAAATTCTCTTTGCTTAGCTGCCAGAAGTTATGTGTCCCTCAGAGGAAACCTGGGCAGCAAAGACAAAGAAGCCACGTAGGAGGAATGAAGCTGAAGGCAATGAATGAAACTGTCCCCTTCTAGGCTCCCTCATCAGTGACATTTGTTGGCACTGTCCAGCCAGAGGACCCTGTGGCTACCAAGCCTCGGCAGCATGGCTGGACCAAAGTAAGATGCATTCTATGTGTAGAATGCACACCAGATTGTGAAGTCTTCATCCAAAAAGAAAAGAAAGTATGAAGAAAAAGAATGTAAATATCTCATTAATGCTTTTTACATTGTTTCTATGTTGAATAAGCTATATTTTTAATAACTAGATAAAACAAAGTGAATTATTAAATTCATTTCTCTTGTTTCCTTTCTCTGTTTTGGAATGTGGTTACTAGAAAATTTATAATTGCACACCCGGCTCATATTATAATATCATTAGTCAATGTTAATCTAGAATTACACTGTCCAATATGGGAGGCAGCAGCCACATGTAGCTATTTAAAGCATTTGGATTTAAGTTAAGTTAAACATTTTATTCACCAGTGGCACCAGACACATAGCAGCTATTGTGTTCGATGGTGTGGATACAGGGCATTCTCATTCTGCAGAAAGTTCTGTGGGACAGATCTGACCTAGGAGTTTCTAAGCTGCTCTAAATTTTTTTCTTACACGCTTCCGAAACTCATTTGTTTTGCTATGCTATGTTACGTTTATGTTTGTTTATGTTAGAAATTCTACTCTCTGGCTCAGCCCTAAACCCAAGTGATTTCTTTCCTGCTCGAATCCCAGAATGTGTCTGTATCATGCTTCTGAAGGGCGCTTTGTGGGCAGCGCAAATACAAACAAGCTGCCACTCTTGGCTCTTTTCAAACTGACCACTTGGATCCCCCTTTCTTAATCTAAGACTATTATATTAGTTTCCTTTGACATTATAAGAAATTACGAACGACTTAGAAATTTATTTATGTCAATGCTAATTTACTTTCTAACAGTCTGAATGTCAGAAATCTAGAATCAACATGTGAGTAGGGCTGCGTACCTCCTGGAGGCTCAGGGAAGAATCTGCTTCCTCTCCTTTGCAGTTCCCAGAGGCTGCAGCCTCCCTTAGCTCGTGGCCGCATCACTCCACTCTGCTTGCATCTTCAGGACTCTCCTGAAGGATCCTTGTGATTACAGTGGTACCACCCAGGTAATCAGCATAATCTCCCCATCATTAATTAATTCTTAATTAACTGCATATGTGAAGGCTGTGTGAGGGGACATGACATAGTGACAGTTCCTGGGCCTTATGATGTAGACATCATGGATTTCTAGGGCCACCACTAGCTTATACATGGCCTTGGGACACATTAGAAAAAGACGCACCATCTGCCAGGAAATATTCCTAGTTTGGGGTTCCCCTTCAAGGACTTGGGGGTAAATAGTGCATTGGGGCAGGGTGCCAGGAAGAGGGGGAGAGGTGGGGAGAACCAGGAAGTGAAAAGGCATTGGGGGGGGATGATTCCCAGCCTGGGGAGCTAGGGCCCCATCCTGCTGCAACCCTAGGGGAACTACAACATGTGTCTCAGAGTTGTCCTCGAGGTCGGAAGGTTGTGGCATTGATGTACAGACCCAGTCTTTCTCGGTTGAGAACTTCCCCACGGAAGTTAACAGCCCTGCGTTTCCCAGTTGCCCTATGTGGAAACTGAAGCAGAGTAGTGTGCAGTAATGGCAGACTCCCGACATGGGGTGGCTGATGCCACCACAGCTACAGGGATTTCTCTAGGGGCTGAGGGGATGTGGCATCAGACACCAAATGCATCTGCCAGTGGGACCCAGCACATAGTCCTGGGCTGTAAGGCCTGGCCCACTGGGGCCCTGCTGGATCTCTGCCCCATTCTGTGCACTGTATATGGCCTCACAGGGTCCCTCTGAGCCTACAGTGTGAATAGGGAACAGGGCCTACAGTGCTGAGGCTCTGGAGTTCTTCCTCCAGGAGAGAAGTAAGGAACTTGGAGGCTCTAGTTCTAGATAACAGGTGTATAGCCTGGAAGCTTAAGCAGCTGCCAAATTAACACACACTGAAATATAATTTTTTAAAATTATATACAAAATTATAATCAGGTCTGGGCTTAGCCTGGAGCTTACCCTACCTTCACGGCTGGAATCCATGAAAACCTTAATGAAACCTCAAGCCTTTAGGGCCCCAGGGATCTATCTGTGGCCATGTTCATCTTGAAGGCAGTGGTCTCCACACGTAGGCAAGTTCATTATTACTTTAAATACTTTAAGTGTTCTAACCAACAAGTTCCCCATCTTATAAGAAAAAGGAAACACCACACCCTGGATGGAGGATCAGAGACTAAAGACAGCAGAGCTGCAGGTGGGAGCTGATCTGGTTCTCTCAGGAAACATCCAGAAGTAGGGAGGAAGGAAGACTGAATTTAGAGCTCACTAAAATAAAGCAAGCCTCCCCCTCCCCCTCAGAGATGATGCTCTAGGTGGGCCTGGGGCACCCCCCTTTTCTCTGTGGTCCTCCCTGCACTATAGGCCTTCCCATACTCCACTTCCTCCCACTTTGCTCATCCTCTGCAGGGCAGAGTGAGGCCCCCCCCACCCAGGTCAACACCTCCTCCCTTCATGCAGATGTCTCTAACACACCCCCATTTCCTTTCCTGTGTGTGTGTGTGTGTACCAGCAGTGTGATGAATGGATCATATGGTAGTTCTACTTTTAAAATTTTGAGGAAACTCCATACTGTTCTCCATAGTGACTGTGCCAATTTACCTCCCCACCAACAGTATGCAAGGGTTCCCAGTTCTCACAGAATTATTCACAGTACTCAAAATGTGAAAACAGAATTGACAGATGAATGGGTAAAGAAAATGTGGTACAGACACAATGGAATATGATTTGGCCTCAAAAGAAAAAAAAAGAAAATTCTGCCATGTGTGGCACCATGGATGAACCTGGAGTACGTTGGCCTACGTGAAATAAGGCAGCAAATACTGTGTGATCTCGCTTATGTGTGGAATCTAAAAAAAACTTGAGCTCCTTATAAGAGAGAGTAGATGGATGGTTACCAAAAGCTGGAGAGTGGGAGGAAAGGGAAGATGTGGTCAAAAGGTCAAAAGGAGACCCAGTGTACTGCCTGGTGGCTATAGTTAACAATAATGTACTGCGTACCTGAAATTTGCTGAGAGAATGTATGTCACTCCTCACCACACACAGTAACGAGCTGAGATAATAGACGTGCTAGCCTCAAACACACAGAAATGTTATTTGTCAACCACTCCTCCATCTAACTGGGGAAATACTGGCTCCTCCCCCTCACCCCACTGGGCTCAGCAAGTAGACAAAGGGCTCAAAATGCCAAGTAAATGAATAAGTGATCATTTTTTGAAAAGTCTTTGTTCTGGAATTACGAATTGGCCTGGTCATCATAAATTGCAACTCTCAGTATTTTTATGCTGTCAAGAGCCCTAATTATGTTTAAATTTTGAAGACAATTTTAGAATAAATTTGAAGGATTGGAGCAAATTCCAATGAGATCCCAGCGAGGTCTAGGAAATGGGCAGAGTGTCCCTAACAGGCTCCTTCATGCCAGCAGAAGGCAGCCCAGGTCCCCACTTCATGTCACCCAACAGCCCTGGGACCTTTTATTTCCACAATTTAAAAACCAGTTCCTCTCTAAAAAGACAGTAAGTGACAGCCACCCAAAGATCTGGGTCAAAAAATTTAAAAAGCCAGTATTTAGCATATTCAGAAATGACTTTCTGTGTTCAAAACCAGGGAGGCGAATTGTTTCAACCCACTGCACATTAAAAATTGATAACGATTTCAAACCAAGGAAAGGAAGGAGTGAGTACAAAACGCTGGGGCTCTTTTTATAGTACTTGTGTGTGAGAATGTTAATTAAAGGACTCTCAGACTCAGAAAGGATCTGAGAAAGGAAGGAGTGAGAATTTAATTTTAGGTGTTGTTTCATCAGTTTAACACACACGCGGAAAAAAGACAGCTTCATGAATTCCTTGAAGCTAGTCTCAAGAACTTCATGAGCCCCCAGAAAGCCCCCATTGAAACTGTAAAGTATAAAAGATAAATTTAACGAAAACTTTTCACCCCAGTAAGGAACCTGTTAATAGTGAAGGCTACAAATTAACAAATCTTGGGGCATTAAATGAGCATAACAAAAAGTTAGCTACCCTTCAAAGGGTGTTCTTTAAAGAGTCACACTCACCCATTTTTTGAAACAGAAGTTTAGAACTGAGCAATTGTGCGCAAAGAGGTTCCAAAGCCCAGTCTCCTCACGTATTTCAACCTGCACCAAGGGAATGGCCGTTCCACTACTCAGCTGGGGGAACAATAATACAGCTAAGAACTATTGTGTCTCCCCTTTCTGAGGATCCCATTCTGCTCAGTGACAAGGAGACAAGTCCTCTGAGTCCTCTTAGTGCCCTGCAGGGAGGTGTTCTCATTTCTATTTTGCAAGCACAGAAGCTGAGTGGCAGGATGGTTAAGCAAATGCTAGTGAGTAGGAAAGCTGGGGCTCAAACCCGAGTCTTATGCTTCCTAGGTCACATCGTTTGCACTTTGCCACCAGAGAGCCATCTATAAAAGCATAAAGCTGGTATAAAACACCCACAAGGGAACTCCACCAGACCAGATAGGAACTGGCACACCCGGTCCTCATTCCTAGACTCTGCCCCGTAGCCTGCTGTGCCTCATGCGACATCGGTGCTCTCGGCTTGCTTACGCCTGCAGCCATCACATCCTTGGGATGCAAGCAGTAGAAGCCCATTCCAGCCAATAAATGCAAAGAGAATTTCTTGAAAGGCTATCTAGGAGTCACAGAATCCTTGAGAAGGCTGGAACACCAGGCAGAAAGTTGGCAGCTCCAGAGACTGATGAACTCAAATTCTGTTCTTCCCAGAACAGCTGGGGCTGGGGTTTCTCTGTCCCTCTGCTCTGATTGTCCTGGCTTGGGCCAGAGAGTATCCACTGGGGAAAAGATAATTGCCTACAAAAAAATAATGTACCAGAAGGTTGGCCACTGACTGCACCCCTCCTGAGAGCACCGTTCACACAGATTAGGATATGAAGGGTGTGCTCTCGGGTGTGCAAATCACTGGCACCACACATGCACCCCAGGTAGGCCCTCTCTGGTGATAGTGCCCATGTATACCACTCAGAGACACTGGGTAGGAAGAAGGGCTAAGATCCAAGCCCAGAGAGTCTGACCCTGGGGTCTGTGCTCTTAGCCACAATGCTTATCACATGCTAACTTCCGGGTGCTGGGGAATCACAGAGGAGGAGTGATCATCTGAGGAGCTGGCCAAGGTGTCATCTTTCTTACTTGCCTCAGTATGGGCATGGATAGGCCACCCAGCACCATGATGCCTCAGTTCTTTCATCTCCTTACCTCCAACAACCATTTCCATCTTTTCACCTCAACCACCACCATCTCCCATGTCAATCCAGGATGTTCTCGTGGCCTGTGAAAGGGCATTGCTTCTGAAACCTCAACATCAAGCCTCTTGCCCTCCAGTTTCCTTGTGTTCTTCCAGATTGCCAGTTCTAGGAGCTTAATGATAACAACAGAAACTCTATTTAGCTGACCCCATCACTGTTTGTACTACCAACCACACCCTCCTGTGTTCACCTTCTTCCTTAATCCCCTCCAAGTCCATGGCCAATATTATTGTGAACTTTTCCTTGCATCTATCCAGATAGCTTTGCCTTTCTCTATTTACCCTTCCCATCAGCAAAACTCCAACCCAATTATTGACCGTCTCTATTGCTACATCAGAACTACTGAATGTTACTGAAGAAATGTGTATCTGAGCTGACTAGAGCATCTTTAAATTCTTGCCACCAACCTCAAAAAAAAAGCACTCAACACTGCCTAGAAATACTTCTATGTTTGTCAAGTGAATTTCTTCCCCACTGTCTATGGTAAATATTGTGGGTATTATTTTGCTACTTGACCCAGCACAGGGCTTCACTGTCCACATCCCTCTACCTGTCTGCTATGACCTTCACTGGGAAAGCAAAGCCATCAGACAGAAGCCATTGGCCTGCACTTAAGCTCTCTCTGCTCTTTTTTTCTCTCCTACAACAAAGGGAGTAATTTCTGTGTTCCTCTCCAAGGCAAATGCCTTCCTCCCCACCTTCTGAAACTTTCCATGCCTTCATTTATTCCCTCATCTTCATTTTCCCTCTTTCTTTCTACAAGATCATTCCCTTCCTATGATAGATATTGTTCAGTGTCTCCATCCTAGACAAAGAAGCAAACCACTCTTAGCATCACACTCTCCTTCAGTTATCATTTCTGTGCTCTTCCCACACACACACAGCAAAATGTTCCTTTGTTCCGCCGCCACATCTCTCTTGAACCCAGCCCCTTTGGGTTCTTACCCCTCTGTTCTTACCCCTCCAATGTTC